AGCCACTCCTCCCCAAGCCTGGAGTGTTGTGTAGGGTTGTTTTAATGAGCACTTTCAGCCCCAAACCTCTTTTTCCCCTTGAATTTCAGACAAGGCAAACTTGGTGAAGCACCCACCAGTGGCCATCCTGCCTCTGGGAACGGGCAACGACCTGGCCCGGTGCCTGCGCTGGGGAGGAGGTGAGACTGGGCGAGCATTACCCCAGGGTGACTGGCCAGCAGTGGCCATCCAGTGGGCTGGGTGGGTGCTCTCCTGGGGGAGGGAGAACTCCTAGGCTCATGGGGCTGCATCTCAGCCCTGGTGCCTCCTGATAGTGTCTCTAACCCCTTACAAAAGAGGCAGCCACTCCTTTCTAAGTCCCCATCAGCTGGGTCCTGCCCAACAACCTTTTATATTGGGGACAGCCATGCCATTAGCTGAAATCTCTGCCACTGCTGCAAGGATGAGCTGGGCATCTCACTGGTGCTGCAGCAGCAGCCCCAAGCTCCCAAGGTGCTCAGCACCCAGTGTGACATGGCTGTGCTCTCCTTCATCCTCTGCCACCCTCCTCTGATGCCCACCTCCTTTCCCTTACAGGCTACGAAGGAGGCAACCTGATGAAGGTCCTGAAGGACATCGAGCACAGCACAGAGGTGATGCTGGACCGCTGGCAGATAGACATCATTCCCAGTGACAGAGAGGCCAATGGAGACCCTGTGCCCTCCACCATCATCAACAACTACTTCTCCATTGGGGTGGTGAGTACCAATGGGGCAGGGATGTGTTTGAGGGCAGCCCAGGGCACGGCACACATACATGTGTTTTTTGGAGAGAGCAGCACAGCACAGGGCTAGTAATCAGTGCCCAGACCAGCGCCATGCCATGCCGTGCCCACTGGAGCCACACAGCCACGGTGAAGCCAAGGGAAGAGCTCCAGAGGCCAGCAGAGCAGGGAGATGTCACCTGGGTCCCCAGCACAGCCGCAGTGTCCTGGTTTTGCTAGGACAGAGTTAATTTTCTTCTTAGTAGCCGGAATAGCTGTGGTTTGGTTTCATTGTGGGATTTGTTATGAGAAGAACGTTGATGAGGTACTAATGTTTTATTTGCTGCTGGAGCCCAAGGACATTGTCTTTTACTCATCTGCAGGTGCAAAGGACTGGGCGGGAGGAAGTGTAGCAATTAGCAAAACCTGAAATCAGCATTTGGCTCTGCCAATGAGATATTCCATATCATATCACATCACATCATGTTCAGTATAAAGGAGTGAAACAACCACATCGAGCTTCAAATCCACCCAGATCAGGGGATTCTCTCTGGCCACCAACGCCAGGAGCAGAGGAAATGGCAGGAAGATGTGCCAGGGGAGGGTGAGGTTGGCCATGAGGAGAAGGTTCTTGAGGCAGAGGGTGGTGGAGCACTGGAACAGGCTCCCCAGGGAGGTGGTCATGGCACCAAGCCTGACAAGATTCCAGAAGCATTTGGCCAAGGCCCTCAGACACATGGTGTGAATCTTGGGATTGTCCTGTGCAGGGACAGGAGTTGGACTCCATGATCCTGGTGGGTCCCTTCCAGCTCACAACATTCTGTGATTCCCGGTGGCTTTTCCCACTCAGCAGGTGGGAAATGGAGAATTGCTTCGGTTGCCGTGAAGTTGCTGGAGCGATCCAGCCCAGTGGGTGCACTCAAGGGAGTGCACCTCAAGGGAGTTCTTCCCTCCCTGTCTCCTCCTGGGCTCATCCTTAGACACCTTCTGAGCCAGCCCCAAGTTAATTCCGAGGAGCAGTGGCTGGTTCCTGGTGACATTCTTCAGAGACCATAAAAGCCTTCCTAAGGGTTTGGTGAAACTCGACATTTGGGCTTGTCTCCTAAGCTGGGGATTCTCCCTCCCTGCTCTTCCTTGCTCACATTCCCAAATCCCTCCATCTCCTGGTACTGTTTTTCTGATTTTATTGGCTTAAATGCATAAACAGGCATGGAATCTCTCTCTTCCCAGCCAGGAATGTTGGAAGCCCAAGCACGCGAGGAGTTTAAATAGGGCTCAGGGAAGCTTGGGGTCCCAGGGATGGGTTGAGATCTGCTGGACATGCTACATGAAGCTTTTGGACCCATCAGCAAAGCCCTGCTTTGGTGCCTGGACCCGCATTCCGTGTGTTTTCCTAACCACAGGAAGTTTGGGAGCTGGGGAGGATGGCAGCTCCGTCCCATGGGGGCTTTCCCCAGCACTGAAATCAATCCTGGGAGCAGTGGGGCTTTGGGTGAAAGGCAAAGTGGAAAGCACTTCTCTTCCTGGTGGGTTGCAGGTGTTTTGTCCTGGGCCACGGGTGCTTGAGCAGTGCCACCACATTGGTCACCCACCCAGCAGTGCTGTGGGATGCTCCTTTCACATCAGCTCCTGCTAATGCCAGGCAGTGTCACTGCAGGTGGCATTTGGTGACAGCTTCTGAGTCTGGCTTCAACACCCCCCACCCTGCATAGAAGAGGTTGCAATGAGTTTCAGGAGAGCTGCCACCCTGCCAGGGGAGCTGTCAGGGTGCAGGGTCCTGGGGTGTACCTGGAGCCCCTCTGCCCTGCTGGTAGCCCTTTCTCCCTCAGAGAATTGTAGTGGTTGGAAAAGACCTTTAAGAACATTGAGTCCAACCATAAACCAACACTGCCAACTCCACCTCTAAACTATGTCCCTGAGCACCTCGTCTACCTGTCTTTTAAATTCCACCAGGGAAGGTGACTCCACCACCTCCCTGGGCAGCCTGTTCCAATGCTTGACTACGCTTTCGGTGAAGAAGTTTTTCCTCAGATCCAATCTAAACCTCCCCTGGTGCAACTTGAGGCCATTTCCTCTTGTCCTGTCACTTGGTCCTTGGTTGAACAGACCCACCCCCACCTCTCTGCACCCTCCTTTCAGAGAGTTGGAGAGAGCCAGAATGTCTCTCCTCAGCCTCCTTTTCTCCAGGCTGAACAACTCCAGTTACCCTCAGCTGCTCCCTCAGCATCACCTCCATGAAGAGCCCCTGTGACAAGAGGAGGCCAAGAGCACTAATATTTTGCTTAACAAGCCCATTCAACACTTTGTGAGCCCTGGCTGAGGGTGCCTCCATGACATCGGCATGGTCCCCATGCTGTGCCCCTGTGCTCAGGGTCCAGCAGCAAGGGCAAAGAGCTGACACCCTGTATCCCAGTGTGTGCCCATGGGGTGCAAAGTGGGGTTTCCATTTCCCTGCTCTGCTGCTGACATCTGTGCACCCTCTCCCACAGGACGCCTCCATTGCCCACCGCTTCCACATCATGCGAGAAAAGCACCCTGAGAAATTCAACAGCAGGTAAGGGCTGCCTGTGGTGACCCCCAAAAGCTGTGTATGGGGGGACACCCTGCTGTTGTCTTCACCAAGGAGACATGTTGATGCTTCCTCCCCTTCCACTGGGCTCCTCTCGTCCTTCTCCCATGGGACATTGCAGCACGGTGTGTGGCCAACCTTATGGGACGGGCAGGGGATGTGCCAGGCATGTTCAGGGCTGGGCACAATGTGGGTCCAGGGTGCTACTTTGGTCCCTGTGCAGCGTGGCGGGCTGCTCAAACTTGGCCACACACCCTATTACGTTTGTGCTTTATAATTAGCGATGGATTCCAGGACAGGCAGGAGCGGGCAGGGCAGCAAGGGCACGGCAGGCAGCAGGTCACAGCTCGCTCCCACTGTGCTTGGAAATGGCGTGATGGCAACAGGAGCCTTGGCTTGTGACCCTTGTCCCTGTGTTCAGCACTTCCTGCTAGAAAAACCCCGCATTGTCCAAAGCGTCTGGCTCTGCTCTGAAATTCAGCTCCCCTTGCTGACTGCTGCCCCTTGAAGCCTGGTCCCTCCCCATGATGGCTCATGTCCCCATTGATGGCTCGTGTCCCCATCACAATGGCTCCAGAAAGGTGCTGGCAGCCCATCCCAGGGACAGCTGGGGTGAGGCACCACTGCCGAGTGGGACACTGACACCACTCTCTGCCCCAGGATGAAGAACAAGCTGTGGTACTTTGAATTTGGGACATCAGAGACCTTCGCAGCCACCTGCAAGAAGCTCCACGACTACATCGAGGTGGAGGTGGGTTTCCTGGAATGGTCCTCAGCTCCTGCTGCAGCACAAAGGCTTTTTGGGTGGTCGCCCACGGGTCCCCTGAGCCAGGGCTATTGGGTGTTCAGGGAGAGGATGCCACAGCAGCTTTGGCCCCTCATGGTGGCAGGAAGACACGGTGGCTGGCAGGACCTGCTCTCCCACCACGCAGTGCTTGCGGCAAAGCCGGCCAGCTGCAGGCAGAAGAATAGCCCTGTATTCCCATCCCTTTCCAGCTGTATTCCAGAGCGTGCCTGGAATATTCTCCATGTAAACTCAGAGTCAGCTCGCCAGCCCTCATTGGATGACATGGAAACAGCCATTAATTGGAGCAGGGAGGAGGGCCTGTAGTTGCTAAGAGTGCTGTCATGTCTCTGCTCGTGCCGGGGGCTTTGGGCTGTGCTTTGCTGTGAACTTCCACCTCTCCTTATCTCTGGAGAAAGGTCCCTTTGATAACTCAGGCTTGAGGGCAAGGGGAAAAAAATATGTTGCTTGCTGCAAAGGGCCAGTGTGGGTCTGACCAGGCAGTGGGTGCAGGGTCATTGGCGTGGGCAGGCAGAGAGTGGGGAGCTGGTGGTACGGTGTGTGCGCCGTTTGGTCCCTTCCAACCCAAACCATTCTGTG